AAGATTTTGAACACTTTTGGTTCAATAACTATTCAGAGATTCCTTTTCGTTCTCGAGTTATTTGCAAAAGAAATATTTAGGGGACAACTCTCAACTCCCTAATGGGGACTTTTAGCAAAAATTTAAAGGTTGCATATTGTTCAGAACATGATTTTGAACATCTTTTGTTCAATATTACTTGTCAAAATATTTCTCACTTTCGAGATATAAAGTGTCAAAGATTTAGCATTCTGGCCCCTTTTGGCCCCTAATCTTGTATTATACTACATTAAAATCATAATACACAGTGGTAGATTGTTGAGATAAACATTTTTGCTACAGTAATGCATAACAAAATATTGATTGTTAAAGAGTTATCGAAAAAACACTTTAAGCCCCTTTTGGTCCCTAATGTGATGAGTCAGCACTTTTTTCTTGATATCATTCTAAAGATATTGTCATTCTGCACAAATTTTGTTCAGTATGTTTTATCAAAATGATTATACTTTAAAAGATATGATGCAAAATGTCTTAAAAAATCAGTCATGATTCGTGTCCTAAATTTTGACCCCTACCGAGCTTCCATACTAGACACTTCCGGAAAATATCCTGACCCAGGTGCAACATGGCAACATGTCCTCTATTATCACTGAAAATTTCAGCGCTCTAGCTTAAGCCGTTATTGAGTTCTATCACAGACACGGAGGTCGTCTGAATTTTAAGAAAAGGGCGATAACTCTAGACCGGAAGTGATTTTCAAAAAATCCTTCGGCCGGAATTAACTTCAGATAATTGTGCACCAACCCTGAAAATTTGAAACAAATCGATCGAAAAATCTTTGAGAAATCGTCGGCACAAAATTTGTGCAGAAAAAAAGAATAATAATAATAATAACTAGAAAGTCTGCTATTGCAAGCAATAGCATATGTCGCCCCGTATTAGACAAGACTTTCATTTTTATCATCACTAAAACAAAAGTTCATAAGCTAAGTTTGAACAACCATTGAGTTATATCAGTCCTTTCCATTGGAAACGAAAGACCTTAATTCGGTACATCCCACTCATTATTTTTAGAATCGGTAGGAGAAGAAAGTAGTGCAGGAAAATTACAAGTTCCTCAATTTGCCGACTTGCATAAAAGAAATCTGGCAGATGTACTGAACTGAGCCTCAAATTTGTTAACTGGCAGTATCTTTCCTATGATAAAAGCTTGGGAAATGTAATTTATGAAGAAGATCAGCCGAATTATTTTGTGTATTGTAACGCCAGTGAGAACTCTGAAATTTCCCTCTTTCACTTTCATTTTAGAGGTTCTACCGAAAAACGAATCTGACATGCCACCATCAGTTCGAGCATTTCTGCATTGCAGAGAGCTGATGTGTGTTATGAGATAATAAATCATGTGTGAACTTTCTCAGTTTAGCGGAATCATGAACATTTTCGGCGAGATGAATGTTTTGTATACAGTGGTGATCAAGGCTTTGCGAACCATCAGGAGCGGATCAAAGAATTTATGAATGAATAAAAACTATGGAAATGACGTACCAATTTTTTCAATTTATACTTGCACTATCTAATGAAATGAATAATATACAAGTGATAGATATACAAGAAAACGCGAAATGATAATAAATGCAGCTGACAATCGTTATTTTTTTTTTATATAGATAAAATAAAATATTTATAAATTCAAGAGACAAAACAGAAGGAGAATGAATGATGGCAAAATATCACATGACCGGAACTGAATTTTATGAATGAAGATTTTAAAAAGTTACTTGTAAGTTGTATATGTTATATCTGTGTCTTCTACTTGGCTGTGTGCTTCAAAAAAAAGGGGGGGGGGTCGCCTTGAACATAGTAAATAGCCATAACGTTTGAACGGTAAGTACTAGGGCTTTCGTATTTCAAATATGTAATCCTTGTGAAAAGAACTTTTATTGGATACGACGAACTTTGACCCTTTGACCTAGACCTTGGAGAACACATGTGTACATCTGAATCTTTTTTTTCTGTTTCGTTTCTATGGCAACCGTGAGCGACTCATTACAATTATTTTGAAAGTAGAAATCACTTTGACACATTGCAAGGAATAAACATTGAAAGTTTGAAAACGATTGCCTGAGTAGTTATTGAGAAAATCGAAATTAAAGAATTTTAACTTTCACCTGGTTTCCATGGCAATAATCGATTATATGAAAATTTTAAATACGAGTTGCAGAACTACAGATACTAATCATTAAAATAAGAAAAGTTTCATGACGAACGTTTAAGGGACCAGAGAGAACACTCTCGGACAAAATTTGTCGCTTTTTACAGGTTTCCATGGCAACGGTAGACATATTGGAACTGAACGACCTCACTGCACAACTACAACCAGTGATCGTCCTTTAAGGAAAGTTTCAGGAAGATTGTCCCAGCCATCTCCAAGAAACAGCCTGGATAAAAAAAACATGCGTACAATATCAATATGTCGTCCCCGACTTCGTTCGGGGCGACATAATAATAATAAGAAAATTGAAAAAGAAACATAAGAATAATAGAAGGGTCTTCCGCTGAAGACGGAAGACCCTAATAAAGGTAAAAAAGAAACCGAAGAATAATAGAAGGGTCTTCCGCTGAAGACGGAAGACCCTAATAATAATAAAGGTAAAAAAGAAACCGAAGAATAATAGAGGGGTCTTCCGCTGAAGACGGAAGACCCTAATAAAAGTGAAAAAGAAACAATAGAATAATAGAAGGGTCTTCCGTTGGAGACGGAAGACCCTAACTAGAGCAAAGCTCGTTGCAAAGCAACGAGTGGGTCTTCCTTCCTAGCGAAAAGCAAAAGATTCAATGTCTCTGTCTAGATTGTCAACTTTGCTAACAGTCTCTTCTTCGATTTGTCTCAAAAACCCTTACTTGAATTCTTCAATTTGGTGTGAGCATGAGGTCTAAAGGGTACTCTCTCTAACAGCATTCTTGAAATCGTATCCACAACAGTTTAACTTCCAATATTATGACTTTTGATATCGGATATATCATGTTTGTTGCAATTATGTTTGTGAAACGTGTCATGCTACAGAAACATAAGTGTTTTGCTACATTACCATCTTAAGGTAAGTCACTCGTCAACTTTTTAGAAAAGTTCACGCAGAAGCATTTTCTTCAAAACTACTAATCAAAATTCAGTTTTTATCACATATTTAAATTCAACAATGTAAATTTTTTAACATGCAATGAAAAAACTGCTCAAAAATCTACAAAGAAGCAAGATTTATGAGGGACTTTTTCTTTTGGTGGAAGGATATTTAGCAGAAAATTCTGCAAATCTGCACATTTATGAAATTTAATGTAATGGAAATTTAGCCTCACATACTTTTACTTGGAGAATATTTTCCGTTTTGATATTGCTAAAAATATTTAATATAGGTCTTAATTTATATCTTTAGACTAAGTTTTACACCTTCCCTCAACAAACTTTTCCAAAAAATGAAAATATATTAAATAAGTCAAGGTCAAATTTACACCATTTTTTGCCTGAAAATCACATATTTTGACAAATATTTCAAAATTAACATCACTGACCCCATGTTTTTCTTTCATTATTTCAAAATACTCGATTTTTGTGACTGATCAGCACTCAAGTCGTAAAAAGTTTGATATCACAAAATTTTTTATTGCCCGTTAAGTTTTTAAATACCCCATATATGTTCTTATTTAGTGCAACAAGGTCACACAATAATTTACGCTCATTAATTTGCAAGATTTGTTTAATGATAAAAATTATTTAAACTATTTTACGTAAAATAAGATTATATTTATTGCCATGCCTACATCTAATCAAATATAATAAGGGTAAAAGTAATTAACCAAAGAGATGAAATTTAAGTGCAAAAAGGTCAACTTAAATGTACCGTAGATCAGTAGGATGCACACTGACCCCCAATTTTCTTTGCGATTTTGAGTTACACTTTGTGAGTACTTATCCAAAATATACTTCTCAAAAAATCCTTGATATAACAAATTTCAGGAGTGACTTACCTTAAAAATGGCTTTAAAATCATTTAATATACAATATAACTAGGTAAATAAAATAAACAAATTATATAATAATTCAAAAAATCCAAATGTATTTACAATAATGATGAACAATCTTCATTAGTTGCAATCAGTAAGTAGAACAATACTTTTATAATAAACGCACAGAAATGTGTTGTGTATCTTTCGAATTTGAAGCTTTCCACTAGCAACTGGTGGTACCTCAATAGGAGTGTAAAATTCTCTGAAAGGTATATTATAAACATATTACATATGGCTGTGTATTCTTTTTTAGCGGCTTTGGCGGAATGCAGCAATCACTAAATCAAGTACAAAGCTAAAAGTCTTGTACATAAACATAAATAAGAATATCTACGCTAACTTATTCAAAAGTCAATTTCCACCAAATATTGTACAAGCTAAATATAATACATTTGCAGCATTAAAGAAACAAATCTCTTTGAAGGTATTGCCCTGCATAAGAACAATTTGAATCCCCTACACTAAGGATGCTCTGTGCCAAGTTTCACTTTGGTTCTGGAAAATGATATTGTGAAATTTTAGACAATGATGATAATGGATAAAATTATGTTTTTAAAAAATTTACTGGTTCCTTTAGCTCAGATTGGCTAATAAGTATGCAACAGGCACAGTTTTGGAGTTGACATTGAAATGCGACTGGACATCTCTTCAATCTTGTTTTAGAAAACTACATGTACATGCCCTATGTACTGAATTCCTTGGAATCATACACATGTTTATGCCTTTAATTAGTTGTATGTGCCAAAATAACAATTTTTTTTACATTATACTGCAAAAAATACACATACATGTATTACAAGATCTTATATTCCTGCTGAAGACAGAGGATCTATCTTAATCATTAGAATAAGTAAGTCTAAACTTTGAAAGGGAAGACCTTAATAAAGAGGTCAACATGCTACACAAACAAAATATTAGTATATTTAAAAATAACATATATTCCAATGTAATTACTGGTACATGTATTTCTGTTACAAAAACTATTTCACTTGAAAAACTGAGAGCAATTGATATGTTCATATTTGTGGATTTATGTTGTCAAATCAAAATTTAAAAATGATACACAGTGTGTTTAAAAATTGTCTTCACAAACCAAAACTTTACTTATTTTCACTATGCTGTTTATTCCATGTCACATCCAAACAGATGATCTTCTAGCAAATCATGGTCATGCTTGGTATCAAAATTCAGTATTCAGATGAGTCACACCTATCCAAAAGAAATTGAAATTTTTAGGTCACCTGAGTAAACTATCTGTTTTTGTCCGTCGTCGTCCGTCGTCCGTCGTGCGTTGTGCGTCGTGCGTCGTGCGTTAACATTTAAACATTTTCAGCTTCTTCTCTGAAACCACTGAACCAATTTCAACCAATTTTGGCATATAGCATCTATGGGTGAAGGGGAACAAAAATTGTGAATTTCGTGGTCCCTGCCCCCCTGGGGCCTGGGGGGTGGGGCAAAAACCACTAAAATTAGTGCAATCTTTAAAAATCTTCTTCTTTACTCCCAGACATCAAGCAGTCAAACCGTTGGTATGATTGTAATCAGCATTGAGTCCTCTACCAAAATTGTGAAATTCATGGCCCCAGGGTGAGAGGTTCTGGTGTTAGGGCGGGGCTCTATTGATTATATAGTGAAAATGCATTATTTCTTTGAAAATCTTCTTCTCTGCTCCTGGGTATTAAATTAACTAATTAAGTTCATAGTTATGATGAGCAAGAGTGCCTCTACCAAAATTGTGAATTTTATGGCCCCAGGGTCAGGGGTTATGATGTTAGGGCGGGGCTCTATTGATTATATAGTGAAAAAATGCATTAATTCTTTGAAAATCTTCTTCTCTGCTCCTGGGCATTAAATAAACTAATTAAGTTCATAGTTATGATGAGCAAGAGTGCCTCTACCAAAATTGTGAGTTTTATGGCCCCAGGGTCAGGGGTTATGGTGTTAGGGCGGGACTCTATTGATTATATAGAGAAAATGCATTAAATCTTTGAAAATATTCTTCTCTGTTCTTGAGTATTTGATAAACTTACTAAGTACATAATTATGATGAGCAAGAGTGCCTCTACCAAAATTGTGAAATTCATGGCCCTAGGGTGAGCGGTTCTGGTGTTAGGGTGGGGCTCAATTGATTATATAGTGAAAATCCATTAAATCTTTGAAAATCTTCTTCTCTGCTTCTGAGTATTGAATAATCTATTTAAGGACATAGTTATGATGATCAAGAATGCTTCTACTTAAAATTGTGAATTTTATGGCCCCAGGGTCAGGGGTTATGGTGTTAGGATGTGGCTCTATAATGATTATATGATGAAAATACATTACATCTATGAAAATCTTTTTTTTTCTACTCCTGGGTAATAAGCAGAATGAACTATTAACATAGTTATGATGGGATGGGCTCTTCTTCCAGAATTGTAAATTTCAAGGCCCCTGGGTCTGAGATACCAAAATGGGGAGGGGGGGGCTATACTTATATACTGAAAAAGAATTGTTTGAAATCTGCTCCTTGGTATTAATCAAACATTTTTGATAAACAAGTATGCCTTTTCAAAAATTGTGCAATGTATAGACCTAGGTTCAGGGGTTCATATGTGGTGGGAGCACTCCTGATTATTGATGAATATTACTGATTAGTTGACATACTTTTTTGTTCCCCTACCCTGCTTATCCATATTAAGTAAACAAACTAAACAATGGCTAAGTGTATAACTATGATTAGCAATGGTGCACACAACAGAATTGTGAATGCCATAGCACTAGCTTAAAACATGAACCAAATTCAATCATTTGAAAGTTGTTGCATGATGCTCAGGTGACCTATAAGGCCCATGGGCCTCTTGTTTAATTTATAATTCTTTTACTAATAAAAAGTGCAATTCATGAGATTATAAATTAGATTATCAAATTTAGAGATAAAATATTGTCACATTTTCTGTGTATAATTTGTAAATTTTAATGTACTCTTTCATCAATTAAAAGAAGTTTACACCAATTAAGGCAGTCATTTATGCTATCCCCTAATAAGACAACATACAAGTGCAAAGTAATCATGCACTAGTGGGTTTAGGATAATGTGCTAGAGTATTAATGACAACATACTAGCACGAGGTGACAATGTGCTAGCATGTACGTCAGTGATAATATGCCAGCACACTGAATCCAACATGCAGTGAAGCTAACACTCAACAGATTGTTTAGAGTTGTGTTTGCATGATATTTTGTTTTGTGTAAACACAGCAGCGTGTTGTTTAAAGCTGCATTGGAGTGGCAGTCTGTTGAAATTAACATGCTAACACACTGCAACTTCACATTATTGGAACACCATAATTTTAAAACTGGCAAACCAATGTCTTATGATTACTAACTAGGTAATTGCAACTGTAAATGCAGATTTCATGGTGACAATAATACCGGTAATTCACTGTATATCTGAGAACTGATCAATTATAATAAGGCGTGTCCAGATAGGGCCACTTGCTAAAGCTCAATAGCACTTTCATAAAAGAGTGCCATCTTACCGACACAAAAGACGCCATTAGACTATCACACAGCTCACCATCACAACACTGAAAAACACTTTCGCACTAACACAAGTTCGCACCACACGCTGTCACACTAACACACAACACACTGTCACGCTAATACAATTTCACACAACAAAATATCAGGCTAACACGAGTTCACACAACACACTATCATGGTAACACAAATTCACAAACACGCTGTCTCACTAACACAAGTTCACACAACACGCTGTCTTGCTAACACAAGTTTTACACAACACGCAATCTCGCTAATACGAGTTCATACAACACACTGTCTAGCTAACACAAGTACACGCAACACACTATCACGCTTAGATGAATTCACACAACACACTGTCACGCTAACATGAGTTTACACAACACAACACGCAGTCTCACTAACACGAGTTTACACAATACACTGTCACACTAACACGAGTTTACACAATACACTGTCACGCTAACACAAAGTCACAAAACAGGCTGTCTCACTATTCACTAACACAAGTTCGCACCAAACGCTGTTGCAATAACACACTGTCATCCTAATACCATTTCACAGAACACACTGTCATCCTAATACTATTTCACACAACACACTGTCAGGCTAACACGAGTTCACACAACACACTGTCACGCTAACACAAATTCAAAAAACATGCAATATCGCTAACACGAGTTCACATAACACGCAGTCTGGCTAACACGAGTTCACACAATATGCAATCTCGCTAACACGAGTTCACACAACACACTATCTCTCTAACACCAGTTCACACGACAAATTTTCAGGATAACAAGTTCACACAACACACTGTCACGCTAACACGAATTCACACAACATGCTGTCTCGTTAATAAGAGTTCACACAACACGCTGTCTCGCTAACATGAGTTTACACAACACGCAGTCTCGCTAACACGAGTTTACACAACACGCAGTCTCACTAACACGAGTTTACACAACACGAAGTCTCGCTAATACGAGTTCAATCAACACTCTGTCTAGCTAACACGAGTTTACACAACACACTGTCACACTTACACTTTATACACGATTTCACACAATACGCTGTACCGCGAAGCTAACAAGAATTCACACAACCCACTGTCAGGCTAACACAATTAAGTTCACAAAACACACTGCCTTGCTAACACAAATTCATACAACACTGTCTCGCTAACACAAGTTCACACAACACACTCACATTGCTGAGTTTAAAGTAAAGGTCTACCCTAATTTGAAGAGGTTTAACACTAACATATCTTTATATTAGTAAAGAGCTTCAAATTTAAGACAAAAACATTTATTTAGTAATGTTTCTTAACATGCATCTGGCATATAAAATGAATGAGACCTTAAAAACCTCACAGTACATGTTTACTTAGCTAAGTAAAGGTCTAAATTGATGCTATTCAACAATATATATCAACATCTCAAAGTATGTGAATGAGTGAAATTCTCAAATAAATATTATAAATCAAAGTATCAATAAGAAGCTGAACCTTACGTCGCAGGTTCCAATCCCATTGCTAAATGCTTTAGACAGGTTACTCCTATGAGACTGCATAAACCAAGATTCTGTGTCACGGTAGGTGTTAGCACAAAATGGATCTCATACTTCTTAAAGGCAATAAGAGCTGAGTACAAGTCTATATTTGCAGCTAATACCATCCCAAGTGGTGGCACCATGAAATGACTGAAAAATGTATGATTAAGGCAAATAAACAAACATTAAACCATTACAGCAGTCTTATCAAACAAAAAAGCAAACTTTCTATTATTACAATTTTTTTAAACAAATTTCTTTTGCAATTTAACTGAGCAATATTTGTCCTTTTTTGTCAGTAAAGTATGATATTAAATAATTTAGACTTTTTGAGAACATCTATTTATAGCGAGTCCAGACAGCAGCACAAATCCCTGCCCATAATGCGAGCTCTTATGATAAGACCTTGGCAAAAGAAGATTGTGACTTGCACATTGCTCCACACAACTTTTCCGCAGTATACTTTGGACCCACAGTGCTTAGCTTCTTTAAAATGTTTAAGCTACATTCAAAATTCATTTCTATTTAATTTGAATTAGCTATCCTTACTCATGTTCACATGGAGCTAATGGTTAGTAATTTAACGAGCAGTGAATTCATTCGAATTAAACATTTGAATAAACTCTCAGTGTGAACACTGAGCATGGATGCACCAAATGTCAAATGCGGCTTGACAAGCACAATCTAAATTAAAACTAAATAAGTATCAGCCCTCACCCTTACAGTCACACTGTCAATATATAATTAGTTGAATATATTCTGTAACATTAAGTGCAGTTTGAATTATAGAGTATGATCACTATGATAGATAGTAGGACTGTTGAAATTACATCCTCAAATTTAAAAAAAAATAAAATATAAAGCTGTGGGGATTTACAAGGTAAACAGAGAGCCTCTGAACTGTAAAACAGATATTATATCGGTGTGTCTGTGTAAATTTTAAGTAATAAAGAAATTCTAACCTTCATTCCAATTGTCCAAGCCAATCATACATTAAAATGTCGCCGTCAGCTCTTTCATCACTCGATACAATTATCACTGGGGAATCCGAAGCAGAGTCAAGAGTGTTCATCCTTGTTAATGTGACAGTCAGAATTTCCTCGTAAACAATTCACACAAGATTCTTAGAATATATGAATAGGGATAATAAAGGTAAAAAAGAAACCGAAGAATAATAGAAGGGTCTTCCGCTGAAGACGGAAGACCCTAAATATACAGGAAAATTCTTTAAAAATCTTCTTCTTAAGAACAGCAAAGCCATAATTGCTCATATTTATATGGAAGCATCCCCAGGTAGTTTCAATTCAAGTTTGTTCAAATCATGACCCCCAGGGGTAGGGCAGAGCCACAATGTCCAACCAAAGTTTTATATAGAAATATATAAGAAAATTCTTTAAAAATCTTCTTCTTAAGAACAGCGAAGCCATAATTGCTCATATCAATATGGAAGGAGTGTAGATTCAAGTTTGTTCAAATCATGACCCCCTGGGGGTAAGGCGGGGTCACAATGGCCGACCAAATTTTTATATAGAAATATATAGGAAAATTCTTTAAAAATCTTCTTCCCAAGAACAGCAAAGCCATAATTGCTCATATTTATATGGAAGCATCCCCAGGTAGTGTAGATTCAAGTTTGTTCAAATCATGACCCCCGGGGGTAGGGCTCTATGGTTTTCAATAGTATTGTAAACCAATTTCTACTTTTTCCTAGCCACAATGCTCGGGTGAGCGATGTGGCCCATGGGCCTCTTGTTTCACAATTTTTCTCATTTAACGTTTTAAATTCAAGATATAAGAGGGGTTTGTTACCCTTTATTTTCAAATTATGAAATATATTATGCATTTCATTAGGTCACCTGAGTTATATATAGATCATATAGTGAAAATGCATTAATTCTTTGAAAATCTTCTTCTCTGCTTCTGGATATTAGATAAACTAACCAAGCACATAGTTATGATGAGCAAGAGGGCCTCTACCAAAATTGTCAATTTAATGACCCCAGGGTCAGGCGTTCTGGTGTTAGGGCGGGGCTCTATTGGTTATATAGTGAAAATGCATTTATTCTTTGAAAATCTTCTTCTCTACTTCTGGGTATCAAATAAACTAATTAAGTACATAGTTATGATGAGCAAGAGTGCCTCTTCAGGGTCAGGGGTTCTGGTGTTAGGGCGGGGCCCTATCGATCATATGGTGAAAATGCATTAATTCTTTAAAACTCTTCTTCTCTGCTACTGGGTATAAAAAAAAACTATGTAAGTAAATACTGTATACAGGGAAATTTTCGCCCCAGTTTTATTTTCGCCCCTTTCGCCCTTGTCACAAGTGGGCGAATTTAAAACGGGGCGAATTCTAAGAACACAGTATAAATTCTTAAACAGACCTGGGACTGGGCAAATTTAAAATGAGGCAAATTTGTAAGCAAATGTGAAAGGGCGAAAATAACACGGGGCGAAAATAACCCTGTATACAGAAGTTATGTTGATCAAGAGTTCCTCTTCCAAAATTGTGAATTTTATGGCCCCAGGGTCAGGAGTTCTGGTGTTAGGGCGGAGCTTTATTGATCATATAGTGAAAATGCATTAATTCTTTGAAAATCTTTTTCTCTGTTTCTGGGTATTAAATAAACTATGTAAGTAAATAGTTATGTTGATCAAGAGTGCCTCTTCCAAAATTTTGAATTTTATAGCCCCAGGGTCAGGGGTTCTGTTGTTAGGGCGGGGCTATATTGATTATGTAGTGAAAATACATTAATTCTTTGAAAAATCTTTCCTTTTCTCCTGGGTTTTATGCCAATGATCCAAGTATATATATTTATGATGAAGAAAGGTTCATCTAGCAAAATGGTTATTTTTGTATGCCCCCCTCCCTGGTTTCGAGGGGTGAGGGGGAGGGGGTATGAAGTCTGAAAATGAATTAATGCTTTGAAATCTGCTCTTTGGTATTAACCATTTAAGGAATAACTGTCTTATTTTTCGAATTCATGAAGTGATCAATGGATTGGCTTGTGTGATAATTTGCATAAACGCCGAAGGCACACAAGCCAATCCATTGATCATCTTCATGAATTCGAAAAATCTGACAGTTATTCCTTATATTTACATGCTTTGATTCCGCCAATCCACGGGCTCCAAGCCTGCTTCTCTCTAGGTGTTGTCCCGCCTTGCACGTGGAACCGCGCCAAAACATTCATGAGGAAATCAATTACATTTACAATTGGTAATTTTATCTCGGACAAAGACATTGGAAATGTAAATATTTTATGATAAAATTTGCAAAATTTTGAAATAAGTGGCCTCAGGGTCAGTGGTTCCTTTGGAGTGAGGTGCACAACTGGTTATAAAGTGGAAGTGCATTTTCTCTTAATGTTACTCTGATCTACCTCTGGGTATTAAGTAAATAGAGTAAGCATGCTAAGTCTATAATTATGATAAGCAATGGGGCTTCTTTCAACATTGTGAATTGCGAATTTCATGGTTTAAAACACGAACCAAATTTAATTGTTTGAAAGTTGTTGCACAATACTCAGGTGACCTATAAGGCCCGTGGGCCTCTTGTTAATATAATTTATGTAATGCATTAATTATTTGGTTAAAATGAATCATTTTTTTTCTAAAACTATTTATTTTTCGTCTCCAAATGTACAAAATACAGGAAAATCCAAGATGGGATGTAATTACTGTAATTAAATTATTAAGGTCTTCCGTTTCAGACGTAAGACCTTATAGTGATTCTACTGTTTTTTCTTTTTATTATTATTAAGGTCTTCTCTTCCCAACGGAAGACCTTATTGTTTTCGTTCGGTTTCTTTTTCCCTATTATTATTTTTTTTTTCTTACCGATTTTTGTGCATGCGATTTCTCGGAAACGGCTTGTCGATTTTCACGAAGCTTTCAGATCTGATAGATATTGGTCTGAACCTTATTGGAAATTTTTTATAAGTACGTCGTCACTTCCGGTCGTGAGATATGGAGGATTTACTGATTTTAAGAGGGTCAGCTTGTCCTGGCAATCACTAAAAAACGAATGAAGATATTGACTTGAGATTTTCAGTGAAGGTAGAGGAAGGATTGCTGAATTGCTTTTTTGAGTCTATATCTTTCCAGCGCAAAAGGCGTTGAAGCTCGCCTGAGCTCGTTATAATTATTATTTTTCTGACCATCAAATTTTGTGCACGTGATTTCTCAAAGACTACTGGATGGATTTTCATGAAATTTGCAGGAACAATGTGTTGCTATCTGAAGTTATTATATCCTGGGAATTTTTTGGAAATTCCTTACTGTTGCCAAGTTACGGACAATTTTCTGATTTAAAAATGACATTATGTTCGCGGATAATCTAAAGAACGGTAAAAAATATCACTGTGAAACTTTTAGGGATTATAGATCGTGATAAGTACTATCCAAGACGCGATCTTTTGTACGTCGTCTCTACTTCTTGTCGTAACGGCATGCAAATTTAAAAAGTAGAATTTAAAAAACTTTTTTGTTTTTAAATATTTTCAAATTATATTAGATTGGTTGATAGAAACATTTCTTATTATGCTTAATGTATAATGTGTTTGTAAATTTATAAATTCAGACTCGAGATATTAACAATAAAAAATCTGAAGCGGGGCCAAAACGGCGGCGGTCTCTGTCAATTCCGACATTTCGCAATAGGGGTTTACAGAGGCAGCTGAGCGTTTGCTTGAACAAAAGTAATATAAGGAGCAATGAAATGTGTAGGGATACTTGGATTGTCACGTCGTAGGTTCGTTGCAATTCTGTGTAAAACTACATTTATAATCCAAGGTCTCCTTACAAGTCTTCTTTAATTGTTTTTGGTTGTTTCTCAAAGTAGAAATAGAAAAGAATTAATGTGTAAATGAAGTACAATATCTACATCTTTTGTCTTGCATCACGGTAACACATAGCTTAAATCATAGTTATAATTAATAGTTTTTCAAGAAACAATATATATACATGTAGTAAGTACAAAACGTGACCACTGTTTTCCCATGCACACTTGTGTCATATTAAATTAATAGAAAGGACAACTGTTACAATAAGAAAATATTTTATTTTTAAAAATAACAATTTTTCAAAGACCGTTTAATTGACCTATATACACATTTTATTTTCTCAATGCAAGTTATTGAACATAATGGAATCTTATTCCTTGACCCTCGTAGGGCGTTCGAGGCATTTTTTTTCGGTGAAACATACCACCTTTTTCATGAAAGTGTAAGTAATCGGAATGGTCAACTTTCGTGATTGAAAATTGAAAAAGTAACCAATCATAGCTGTTTCACTGCTTTAGTGTTATTTGCCTATATACGATATGTTACATGTATGTGTTAAATATATTTTCTACACCTCAAAATTTAGGCGATAAGAAAGCTCTTTTGTTATTTTATTGAAACTATCTCACCTATTTAAATAAACATTCCAAGAGAAATTCGCTAAGATTTACTCGTTGCGTTTGGCGCAAAATTATGAATAGTGACCCTCCTTTCATATTCCAAGAGAGATTAACTGTTGCAGAATTATATGTACATACAAGTGAAGTAAGAGTAGTTGTTCAAATAGCGTAATCGATAAGCGTATTGGATTTTCATGCTGGTGACCCATTTCAATTACCAGTGTGTCCAAAATATGTTTAATCCATTTTCAGCTCGATTTTATGGGTTATTTTTCGGAATCGGACGGAAGACCTACTCGTTGCTCGCGACGAGATCGTTTCTAGTTATTATTATTATTAAGGTCTTCCGTCTTCACGGAAGACCTTATAGTGATTGTATTGTTTCTTATTATTAAGGTCTTCCGACTTCCTTCGGAAGACTTTATTGTTTTCCGTCGGTTTCCTATTATTATTAAGGTCTTCCGACTTCCTTCGGAAGACCTTATTGTTTTCCGTCGGTTTCCTATTACTATTAAGGTCTTCCGACTTCCTTTGGAAGACCTTATTGTTTTCCGTCGGTTTCCTATTATTATTATTATTATTATTAGGGTCTTCCGTCTCCAACGGAAGACCCTTCTATTATTCTATTGTTTCTTTTTCACTTTTATTATTCTTTTTTTTTCTTTACAATTTTTGTGCAGAAGATTTCTCGAAGATGGCTCTATCGATTTTGTTCAAATTTTCAGAGATTATGTGTTTCT